CGTTTAATTGCTCCGTTGGCCTACTCTCAGCGCGCCAGTTTGCATGCCCATCTGGTGCTTTCACTGGCAGCTTCATGTGTATGTTAACGGTCAATATCGCGCATAGCCAAGGCGGAAGGCAGCGTTGTCGGCAGCTTGGAGTTCTGTACTGGAAAGTTGGGCAGCCGCTTGGTGCTGGTCCTGGGCCACACGAAGTGTGGTGCCGTCTATGGGGCCACCAAGACGTTTCTAGATGCCCAGGATGTTTTTCCAAGAAACCGGGCTCTGGTGGTTGCCCAGCAAGGCCCAGGAGGAAATGGGTCCTGGCGCAAACGCGGATGCCATCGCGGCTCACGCGGTAAAGGTGAACGTCTTCCACACCATGAACTTTGTGCTGAGCTTCAGTGAGTCTATCCGTGAGGCTGTGAGAAGCGGTCAGATTGAGATCCACGGTGGCATCTACGATCTGGAGACAGGCAGTGTGGAATTCTTGGGGAAAGAGCCCGCAGCAGGCCCACCTTCCATGTCGAGCGGCGCAGCAGCCGACCATGGAATGCACGGCGTCCAGCCCGAGGCGGCATGACGCTGCTGAAGCAGGGCAACGAGCGCTTTGCTGTAGGCGCGCCCACGGCAGCGACCACCTCCACGGACATGCGCGAGGCCTTGGTGAAGTGCGGTCGACACCGTCTTGGCCGGAGACCTCTTCGTGCTCCGCAACGCCGGCAACTGGTGATCCAGGTAGCTCTTGGAGTTCTGCACTGGCAAGCTGGGCGCCCAGCTGGTCCTGGTGCTGGGGCACACGCAGTGCGGCGCCGTGGCCGGAGCTACGAAGACTTACCAGGCAGGTGAGTCCAAGGCTCCGGGAAGTGCCCTCGAGGGTCTCTTGCAGGGCTTGGCCGGGGTGGCGCAGCAGGCCAGCAAGGACCTGGGCCCATGGGGCCAAAGAGGCCAAGCTCATCACTCACGCTGTGAAGGTGAACGTTCCACTCCATGAACTTTCTCCTGAAGTTCTCTGAACCCCTGCGCGACCTGGTGCGCAAAGGGAACCTGCAGATCCAGGGCGGCATCTATCACCTCGAGCCGGGCCGCGTGGAGTTCTTGGGCTGCTCGCCGCAGCAAGCTGCTGTCCTCCAAGCGCTCCATGCCGCCGTCCATCCAGTGCGGCACGATCCGAACCGCCCAGGCCAGTTTGAGCACGGGCTGTCCTGAATGGACATTATGGAATCCGGATTTACTCTGCATTTCTCCGAAAGTTACTTCTTGCTCAAAACAAGCCAAGCTGCAAATGAGGAGAGGGCGAGGAGGGCAGGTTGGCAATGTGCAAGATTGCTTGAGACAAAGCAACACAATGCCGTGGGTATGACTCACAACTCGACGCATCATACTGCAATACTACTCAGTACAGGTGCTTGTCGGGATGCATCTGACAAATGTGCCCTTTACCCTCAGCAGCCGGCATCAGTTGAAGAATGTGCATACTTCAACATAACTTTCCTTAGCTGCACCTGCAGGAGTCCGGACAACTTGAACCTGCTGCTGCCTGAGAGATGCGCATGGAGACTTCGTGGGCTCGAGCATCTCGGTCTTCAACCTCACCAATTAACACAACACACCGGCCGCAGTTGACGGCGCTCCCAACCTTGCGTCTACAAGTGGAGACCTACCACAACGGCCTCAAGTTTGGGTAGGATACTTCAGACAAATTCAGCCTAAAAGATGATCATGCTGCGCACGTCAACTTCGAAAGAGCCTCCCACGTGGGCCCGGCCTAGGGCGATCTTCGCGGCTTTGCGGGGCACCTGGGGCTGGCTGCAGCATGCCATCGTTGCATGATCGCATGATGTTGCATGGGCCTTGGGTCCTTGGCTTGTATCGCTCCAAATCTCAAAACTGAGTGTGCTGAAATCCTTTCGGAATCAGCT